CAAAACTCCCCCTTGTACTGACCTGAAAGCCATTTTCTACTGATTCAGTCCAGTGACTAAGAAGCAATCTGCATCCTGGCCATGAAGCAGACAGGCACCTTTTGTTCATACTGACTGGGGAAACAATCTTGATGGAAGTGGGGGCGTGGATATTGCAGCTGACAGCTGAATCCCAGTCGTGGTATTGATTTCAAGGGACCTTAGACAGGTGACCTGACCTTTCTAGATCTGGATTTACTCTACTGCAAAATGCAGATGTTGATTCTTTTCTTCTGGGTGTAAGGGGACCATATAGTTTGGTACCCAATTAGGACACTTTTGAAAGTAAAAGGGGGTGCTATCAATAATTCCATAAGATAACAGGCCTCAAGTGGGGCCAACCTTATGCATAGGGCTGTAAGTGCCAATGAGAAAGGGCACACTGGGCACCTGGTGAGTTTACCACAAACAAACAAGGGGTGTTATTATCTACGCCTTTGGTCAGATGGTCAGCAGGACCCTCTGGGGTCCTTTCTTCTGGAATTTTCCTTTATCTGGATCCCTCCCACATCCTGGGTTACCAGTTGGTTTGGGTACCACCCCACCGGCACACCACACATCTCAACGAGCTTTCGTAGGAAAAACTGTCAACTCTGAAGTTTTGATTTTTTCCTCTCTGTCCTGATGTTGCCTTAACAATCACAATTCGTGCTCAGGTCCATCAGACTCACTCGAGCGAGCAAAGCTCAGGTTCCCAGCTTCCCCAAAGCCAGGCGTCAGGGGCCAGCCGGGCACACTTGGGGCCAGGCGGCGACTCCAGACTCCTATCCTGCCTTGGCAGAGGCCCACTTCTCAGGCCTCCTACAGGTCCTCTGGCCTGGACTATTTGGCCCTCCGTGATCACAGAACGAGGGGTCAGGGCTGGCGACAGAGGGAGAGGTAGGTTCTGTGACCCCTTCACATAGCACTACAGCCTGGACTGGTCATGAGGCACCACCCTGAGAGCTGGCTTGAATCTGGAGGTTTCCCTGGGGTTGGCAGTCCTGGGGATCCCAAGAGCTCTCCTGTTCTCCCCTTGCCTACAGGGGTCAGAGAGCAATTCTTTTCAGTGTCCTGTCACTCCAGCACTTTTCTTTCCACATATTCAGCATGGCATATTTTAGGGTTCTGTTACTGGCTCTGCTACTTAGTAATTCTGTGACTATAGGCAAAATGACTCATGGTCTTAGACTCTCAATAGTTTTCCTCACCTGCAAATGGGGATAATTGTCAGCTCTGCCGTTAGTCTTAAAAGCATCTTTGTGGGAATTAGAAAATGGCTGTAATATAAATATCCAAAACGACAAAGACCGTGAATGGAAGCTGTGCTCCCTAGAGTTGCATAGTGCACAACCTGGGCCACCAGGCATGGCAGCCCTGAAATAACAGGCCTTCCCTCCTGAGGTTGTTGGGAGGATTAAGTAAGATCATGTATATAAAACCCTTGAGTCATAGTGACAACTGACTGTAGTTATTATCCTTAGTGTTTGAACTTTTCTCATTCCTAACCCCCGGGCCACCAGCTTCTGCTGCAGGGAAGGACACAGAGCTCCATCTTTTAAAAATGATTCTTCCCACAAAGTGGCCCCATGCCTGGGCTGCAGTGCCGTGGTGCCGAGTGGGATGTGGACACACAGTGTGTGGCCCCACCGCACCAGGCCAAGCAGGGACGCTCGGGGCTGCCCACTGGAGGCTGGGTGGGACCCAAGCCTTGGGGAGGCCGCCTCCCAGTGTGCAGGGGCCGTCACGTGGCTCAGTCACACCAGCTCCACTTGTGGGGAGGGAAACCCGTACATAATGGAAACTCCTCACAATACAATGTGGAAAAGCAATTTTAAGAATCGTTTTTATTTTCATTTTGAAGCCAAGGAAAATAGTTGGGAGTTGCTTTTCTTTGTTGGTCATAGGAAGAAAGTGAGGAGCACCACTTTGATTGGAACAGAGTCCTTCTCCCGGCCGAAGATGGCTGGAATGCTGGGGAGGCTTATTTCTCTTGGGGTGCAATTAGTTGAATAAACATCAGGAAAGCAAAAGTAAACACACTCATTACTGCCCATTAAGAACTGCCAAAGCAGCAGAAACACTGGAGAGGGGCGTTAGAATCTTAAGGGAAAACAAATGACTCCAAAGCCAAGGGCAGTGCAAAGAATACAGCCCTTGGTGTCAGGCTGACCCGAGCTCTCAGCTGGGTCAGTTCCGGCTCTTATCTGCCCTATGCTCCTGGGAAAGTCACTTAACCTGTCTGGGATTCAGTGTCCCCATTTACAAAAGGGAAGTGGGGGGGACAACCACCTCAGTAGATCGTCCGTGGCAGCGTATGTCAGGGACACAGCCCGGCACCCTGTTCCTTCTCTAACCCACTGGGCCCAGGCCACTCACGCCAAACCCAGACCCCATGGAAAAGTGACAGGAACCCCCAGAATCGTGAACTTCACCCGTGGTGGCACCCCTGGCAGTGCCATCCTGAGAAAGATACCAGACAGCTTCTCGAGCTGTAATTTCCTCACCCTCAAAATGGTATGACCCAAGTCACTAGCTCTGAATGTTGGGATGACTGAATGGGACAATGTGTATGGAAAGGGCCTTGTGAACCTGAAAACCTGTGTGAGTGTTAATGATCAAATGTGGTGCTCTTTTCAACTGAACAAGCGCAAGAAATGCTGTGTAAAGGCAGCTTGCCCGTCTCTTGCTTCTCTACTCCTGCCCAGCATCACGTGAGATCCTGGGACAGATAGCAAGACAGCCAGGACCCAGTCTGACCAGAGGGCGGCTTCGGGGCTGAGAGGGGAGGCCAGACACGCCTCCTGCTCAGGGCCCAGCTCCTGTGACAGGTACAACTTCCTCCTCTGAGAAGCCGAGTAATCAACTGTGCTATCTCCTGGGCGGGGGATGGTTGGCGCTCCTCACTGAGTCCGGCCCTGCTGTCCACCACACTATCGTGTTATTCCCATCTCTAGTTGAGGTAGCGTTTCTATGTCCCTTACATAGTGTGCAAGGTGGGCTGGATCACCCCCATTTCGTAGAAGAGGCTCAGCCTTTAGGATCTCAAGCCCAAGGGCACAGGTTTTGCTGGAGAAGCTCTGAGAGCCCACATGTGGGAGGGGCCAGGCCTCAGTGATAAACAGTGACACCCTGCCAGGTCTTGAGGCCTGGGAAGGTTGGGAAGCCAACCCTTTCCTGGAGCCAGGTTGCCTCCCCGTGTCCCTGGAGGTTTCCTGGCCAAGGCAGAGGCCCTCACCAGCATCAGCACCGGCACTAGCAGCTGCCTCAGGTGAGCAGCCCGTGGGAAGGCAGTCCCAGCCTGCCCGCCCCAGCCGGTGGTGCAGCTCCTCGCCATTGTTCTGGGCCGGGAGTGGCCATGGGCTGGTGCAGGAGCAGCCGGAGTGCTTTGGAAACCAGGCAAACACTCACAAACTTACCCTGGTTTCCACTAACGTCACTGCAGCCCTACCTTACGTAGCCCAACCCAGAGCAGAGGCTGCCGAACACCTTTCTCTGCCTGGTCCAAAGGCCCGAACTGGCCCCGGAACCATGCTTAGACTTTCTCATTCAAGCAGAAAATAGTTCCAAGTGGCTCTGGGGAGCTCAGGGTCTGTTTTGTAACGGCGCACCAGCTGGCACAAGGTGGACCCTGAACCTGGGCTGCTCACCAGAGAAGCCCCAGAAGGGCCAGGGGAAGACAAAACCTTCAGGTTCTGTGTCATGCTGGTTTTAGCATAAATTAATGTGAAGTCAGAAAGTGGTGATGCTAACACTTTGTTTGTTAGTTTTGTCTTTTACTACTAAAGACTGGATTAAGTACATTTCTGTGCACTCAGGGAGAGTTTGAAGGCTTGAATACATGAGATCAGATCAGGGAAGCTTTCCTGACCCCTCCAATTATCCCTGGTTCTGCCCCCTTCCAGCTGTGTGCTCCTAGGGAAGTTACTTAGCCTCTCTGAGTCTCAGTTTCCTCATCTGTAAAATGGAAATAACAACAGAATCTTAACAGTATCTACCTTGCAAGAATTCATTAAAGTAGAAAATGCTTGTAAATGCTTTGAGCAGGAGCGGGTACACAGCGAGCACTCAGTAAACAGATCCTATGGGTGTTATCGATAAATATGAACGGCCTCCTCCTGTGCGGGTGGTGTCCCCTCTGGCAGCCACCTGCATGGGCTCCCCTGGCTCCGCCTCCCCATCGCCCTCCTCACTATGTGGTAACTGCTGGCAGGTGTGCCTTTTCATTCGGTCCACAAATATTTATTGAGTGCCTACATATTCCAGGTCAGGTGTTTGGCACTGCGAGTGGAGCACACAACACCCTGCCCTCGTGACGGCTCCGTTCACGGGGTGCGGTAGGGAAATGTTCGATGTCTACTGGTGATGAGGACTCTGGAGGGGAAGGTGGTGAAGTCACAATGTTAAATAAGCAGGGAAGGCCTCCCTGGGAAGGTGACATCTCAGCAAAGACCTGAAAGAGGTGAGGGAATGAGCAATGAGGAAAGAGGGTAAGAGTGTTCCACACAGGGAACAGTGTACAAAGGCCCTGAGTCACAAGTGTGCTTGGAGAGCATAAGGACCGCCGAGGAGGCCGAGGTAGCTACAGCGGCATGACCAAGGATGAGGGGAGTCAGAGATGAGGTCGGGGGGGAGGGGGGCCAGGTTGGGAGAGCCTGAGAGACTATCTAAGCTTTTTTCCAAGATGAGGGTCTCCCAGAGGATTCTGAGTAGAAGATCGGACTTTTTTTTTTTAAGTTTATTTATTTATTTTGAGAGAGAGAGCCTGGCGTGGTGAGAACAGAGAGAAGGAGAGAATCAGGCTCTGTGCTGTCAGCATGGAATCCGACACAGTGCTCAATCCCATGAACTGCGAGATCGTGACCTGAACTGAAATCAAAAGCTGGACACTTAACCCAACTGAGCCAGCTAGGTGCCCCAAGATCAGACTTTTCTTTCTTCCTTCCTTTCTTTTTTTTTTTTTTTTTTTTTAAAGGATCACTCTGGCTGCTGAGTTGAAGATAAACTGCAAGAAGCAAGGGCAGGGGCAGGTCCAGCAGCAGACCAGGTCGGTCCAGGTGAGAGGTGAAGGTGGGTTGTGCCCGGGTATAGGGGAGGTGGGGGGCAGCAGCAGGATACTGAGAATATGCCCTGGATATTGCTATTACAAGCTGGTGGTGATTAGATGTAGGTGGAGCATGAAAGAAGGAAAGGAGTCAAGGATGACTTCAAGGTTGTTGGGATGAGCAACCAGGAGAATGGAGTTGCCATTTACCAACATCAGAGAACATGGCAGGTGAACACGCCAGATGGAGGTATGGGGATGCCAGTTCACTTCAGGACAAGTTAAGTTTGAGAGGCCTAGTAAACAGTCAAGTGGAAATGTCAAAGGAGCAGTTGGACGGATGCGTCTGGAGTCAAAGGGGGAGGTCTGGGCTGAAGAAATAAATGTGGGAGTTAGCAGTGCCTGGAAGCCACAAGACCGGATGAGATCACCGAGGTAAACAAGAGGTCTGAGGCCTGAGCTCTGAGTCCCCCAGGACAGGAACAACAGGATGAAGAAGCAAAAGAGACAGAAGGGGCAGCCAGTGAAAGAGGAGGAAAGGGTGACCATTGGGAAAGGAGTCTAAAAAGGGAGCAACCGACCATGTCACCCAGTGCGGAGAGGCAAGTCATAATGAGCACCAAGACCTGGTCACCGGGCTTGGCAATTGAGGATGCTGGTGATCCTGTCCAGAGCACGTAGAGTGGAGGGGAGGGGCCGGGCCCGATGGGAGTGGGCTCAAGAGAGAAAGAGAAGACAGGGACTTTCTGGAAACTGGGTACAGACAACTCCTTAGAGGGCTTTGCTTTTTACAAGGGGAGCAAAGAGAAATGGAACTGGAGCCGGAGAGGGGATGTGAGGTCAAGAGAGGACGGGTTTTCTTTAAGTTGAGAGAAACAAGAGCATGATTATAGGAAAAATGCGATCATGCAGGAGAGGTGGGGGATTGCTGCTGGAGCACTGTCCTTGAGCAGGCGAGGGGAGGGATCTGTGCACGTCCGTCCCCTCCCTCTCGGCCTGGCCAAATCCTGCTCATCCCCCGAGGGTCAGCGTAAAGGTCACTTTCTCAGGGAAGCTTTCTTGAATCCTCCGATTAGGTCAGTTCCCTGCTCTACCCTTTCACAGCGGATGCTATGCTGCTCCGCGGCTCTCCAGGGACTGTGCCACGGGGCATAAGCCCTGTGAGGGCAGGGCTGCCTCCGGCCTGTTTGTGGCCGTCCGTCCAGCAGCCAGCATGCTGCCTGGCACCCCAGAGACGTCTGATGGCTATCTAGTGAAGGGACGAATGGTCCAAGAGCAGAACTGAAACAAATCTGGACACACACGTCTGTTTTCCGCTTCCGCCTGCTTTAATCACGTCGCAGTGGCCGGGACCTTGCCGTTACTGGCTATCACAAATATTTGGATTTAGAAGAGCTCAGTTGTTTGTTCCTGTTTGGACTCAATAGCTTGGCTAACACACAGACCCAAGCCATGCGGCTGGACACATCCTTCCATTGACACTGTCCGCTACCAACTGAACACATTCCATACCGCGTGCAGTGATTCGTTCATTTAACAAATATTTGCTGAAAGCCTGCTTAGTGCAGCATCCTGGGGACACAGGATGGAATCAGACCCAGCACCTGCCCTCATGGAGTGTGGAGTCCGGCAGAGGAGATCACACAGAACTCCTATTCACCACGACTGTGACCCGTGCTACCCAGGGAAAGCCCAGGGGTTAGGAACACGTAGAACGGGGAGATGTGATGGCCTGGGTAGCGTGGGGCAGAGCAGGGAGATCGGACAAGCTTTCCTCTGCCTCCCTGCCCCAGCTGGGAGCTGCCTTCAGGTGGTGTTCAGGCTCGGGTCAGGAGCTCAGCGACGGGGCTGGGCTTTGGGGCTGGCTCTGGGAGTGGCAGGGCTGTGGCCTCCTGCCTCCAGATGCCCTGGTCCCCTCCCATTTCCCCTCGACCTCTGCTGAGACCTGCCTGTCTCCTTCTGCTGCTTCCAGAAGGGCTGCCTCCTGAAGCTACATTTTTGGAAAGATCTGCCTGGCGAGAAGGCTGAGCTCATTTATGGCACAGGCCGCTGGCAGTGACAGCACCGTTACTGAATCTCCCTTCTGTTTACTTTCAGGTTTTCACAGGCTCCGTTCGCCAAGAGGAACCACCATTTTGCAAGGACCATGAGGCCGCTGTGCATGACATACTGGTGGCTGGGACTGCTGGCTGCCGTGGGAGCAGCGGCAGGCCAGAAGGAAGGCTTGGAGGGCGCCGAGGCTAAGCCAGGCAGGTTCATTACCTGAACAGGTACAATGGTGTGATCTTCGGACAAGTGCACCTACACCTTCATCGTGCTGCCTTGAGACAAGGAAATATCTCGTCAACTCCAAGGAGCCCGAGGTGCTCCTGGAGAACCGGGTGCACAAGCAGGAGCTGGAGCTGCTCAACAGCGAGCTGCTCAAGCAGAAGCGGCAGAGTGAGACGCTGCAGCAGCTGGTGGAGGTGGGGCCAGCGGCATAGAGCAAGCCAGTATGGCAAGGAGGCATAACATGAACTGGGTCCACGCCCAGCCCCATGCAGCTCCTGCAGTGGCCGGGACAGCATGGAGCTCTCCCAGCTGGAGAACAGGATCCTCAACCAGACGGCCGACATGCTGCAGCTGGCCAGCAAGTACAAGGACCTGGAGCACAAGTACCAGCACCTGGCCACGCTGGCCCACAACCAGTCCGAGATCATCAGCAGCTCGGGAACACACTGCCAGCTGGTGCTGGCCAGGCCACTCGCCGCCCGTCACCCCACCCGGGTCTAAGCCGTCCCCCACCAATCGCATCATCAACCAGATCTCTACCAGCTTGGTCCAGAGCGACCAGAACCTGAAGGTGCTGCCTCCCCCCCTGCCCACCATGCCTACCCTCACCAGCCTCCGTCCTCAGCCGATGGTGGGAGTCCTTCCGTGAGGGAGCCCGCACCATCTGGGCCTCAGAGCCAGGCACGCTTCCAGGCTTCCACGCAGCAGACCACAGGTGGGGAAAAAGCCACAGCATGAGACCAGACCCAGCAGACTGCACACAATCCCAGCGATCCCTCGGGCCAAGCTGTGGCAGCCTGGGGGGGTGGGGGTGGGGGTGGGGGTGGGGGCAGCGTGCCTTAGACGGATGCTCCAAGGTAGAACCAGGAAACCGGGAGAGTCTCAGAAGAGAACAAACGTTCTCTGGCTTCTGACGGGCAAGAGCCCCAGGCCCGTAGTTTTCGGGGCTCTGTGTTAGATGCTCTGTGTTGGCAACAGGATGTCTCTCCTGTAAGCTCTTGTGCTGTGCCTGGCAGAGAACTGGCAGCTGATAAATGCTCACCAAAGAAACCAGCAGTCAAAGGAAAAGAACGTGTTATCACGGCAAAGGTATGATAAACACGTCGTAGGGGCTAGGGGATGGGAAGGAGTACTTTCCATACACTTCCTAGAGTCTGTTGCTGTCTAGGATTTTCAGTGACGATTCCGTATACTCTTAAATACATGTTTCATCTTAAATACGGTAATTTTCAGAACATGGTGATGGGGGACACACGTGATGACTTGGTACGTTTGCAAGCTTGAAAGCTTGACCGAGGTACCGGCGTTGGGTATTTCCATGGATCTTGATTGTATCACTAACCCCTGAAGCTCCTTGTGGAAGGTTAACTGAAAAGATAAGTAACTTGCTCACAGGCTTAGCCTGCTCAGGCTGGATTGGAATTCAGGCCTTGTCACTTTAAATCTAGGGCTGACTCCTCTGTGCTCGGAGAGTCTGGGGGGAGCACAAGCCCAGCCCCCTGAAGCTCAGCCTCACATCCATCCAGGACTGTATGAGCCTTCCAGATGGGCTGTCAGATGAGTACTGGATTCATCTTTGCCGAAACTAACCACTTATCTGCTCCAAGTCAGTGATTTGGGTACCACTTCATTATACAAGCAGGGAGATATTTTTACTGAAAGTATCCTGTTTTACACTTATTTCACACTTCTGAAAATAACCACCAGTACTGGGAAGAGCAGCTTCTTGCTAATTCCAGAAGGGGGTGGCCCATGCAAAAGACAAGGGCAACACTGTGCAGGCCCGTGGCCGGGAGCACCTGCCTGCAGCACTGCGCAAGAAAGCCCTCTGCTGGGTTTGCAGGTTGAGAACGTAAGTTCTGAAGAGACTGACCTAGATTCAAATTCTGACTCCCCCACTGGTTAGCTCTGGGACATCAGACCAGTCACCTTGCCCCTCAGAGCCTCCGTTTCCTCTGTTTCAATCTGTCAATTAGGGATAGATTAAAATAATGCCTACCCAAAGATAAGATGAAATACTGGGAAAAAAAAAAATGTGTCTGGCATGGTGCTGGGCCCATGGAAAGTCTCAGTACTTGGTAGCTCTGGGTTTCCTTCCGTTTTGGTCTCTTTATCTTAAAGCAAGGAGATAGAAATAAACAAACAGTCCCTTTTTAGCACTGGCTTTCTACAGCAGATGACTGGTTCCTCTGTACACATGTCTGTTTTAAATCAGAAGCTCTGAAAGAGCGGGCAGAGCGTGCTAATATGTCTTGATAGAACGCCCAGACGGTAAAACGTGCCTTTGGGCACCAAATGAAGGCTCAGTTGAATGTTACACTCGTGATGTGAGCCTGGCTGACCTCAATGGTTACCCAACAGACCTCTTCTTGCCTAAGCATCTCTGGTTTCTGAATCCATGATTTCAGGACATTCCTGAGCTTGAACTGAGCTGAGAGGGATAAGAGTGTAGAAAGAAAGACCTAGCTTTGCATCCACCTCTTATTAGTGGTCTGCTTGTGAGAAAATTACTTCACTCTCCTGAGCTGTAATTTTCTCCTCTGGAAAATGGGGGCAGGAGTTATGACACAGCAGGGTTGTTGGGGAAACTCAATGCAATCAGGCATGTGATATTATGTCACCTGGGGCAGCCAAAAGTTGAGGTGCCCCTACTCTGTGCCGGTCACAGCACCGGGCTTCAGGGAGTTGGTAAAAGCTACAGTGCCAACCTCCAGGAACTCAGTCTGGAGGAGGTGGAAGATGTGTGAATGCACTGGGATGTATCCAGTCCCTCTCAGTTCCTCCGTCCTCTCAGTTCCATCCCCCCGAGATGGGCACATCAGATCTGACAAAGGATTTCTCTGGGGGGAGCATCTATCGAGGCCAAAATTACCAGAATGTTGTAAGAACTGATGGGACCGACACAACGAGGTACCTGAAATCAGGAATGCAGTGAAAATCATGGGCTATGCAGTCACTGTGGTGATACCATGGTGTGCTAAGTGCCCTGCAGAGTGGTGAAGGAGGGGCTATGGGGACACTAAGGTGGCACGCGTGACTGAGTCTGCCTGGAGTAGAAGGGAAAAGGTAGACGGAGGTGGGACTTCAGTGAATGATCTGGAAGAGTCTACCAGGTGGACCGAGGAGTTGGACAATGGAGTTACTAGTCAGTCCCTGATGGAGATGAGTCTGTGCAAAGTCCTGGGACCATGGCCCTACTCTGGGCACCTCAAATGGTCTGGACCCCCTGCTTCTTCACGTTCACAGTCCATCATGGTCTGTGTGCATTCCAAGGCCCCTGCACACACCCCAAAACCCACTTTCTCTCCCACTCAAGGAAGCACACCTTCATGGGAGGGAATGGCAGTGACTTCATGTGGACACAATTTATCTTTAAAAAAAAAAAAAAAAAAAAAAAAAAAAAAAAAAGCCCTCCCAAATGTTGGTAGTGATTGTTGGTAACAGATTATTCCCTGTGACCCACCTCCCCACTCCAGATGTCATCAGCCAGACCTGTGGAAGCTGAATGGGCAGGGAGGGCCCAGTAGTTTCCTGGGGCTGGATGACACCCGGAGGAAAAGGCAATGGCCTCTCAGCCAATCAGCAGGGAGCTCTTATCAGTACTGTTCTGAGAGCTCCAGGGCAGGTTCTGCGCCTGGAAGACAAAACCTTCTTCTGTGCTCTCACCCATGAGGTCCTTTGTTCCCAAGGATAGCACTGGGCCAGAAACACCTTTGCGTGCAAGACTTGGCAGCTTCTGAACCTTTCATCCCATAACCTCAGAGCCATCCGCTATTCTCCTCATTGTCTGGGTCACTCAGCCCACAGCTCACCCTTCCCCCGGGGACTGAGGGAGCCAAGGCCGCTTATCTGGAGCCGCACTCACCAGCTTGTTCCCAGCCAGACAGTAACAGCCTGGCCCCAGGCCAGGCCCAGGCCACGGAGAGCCTGAGGGAGGGAGGCCCAGGCAGCTCCTGGCTTCCCTGGTGTCTCACTGGGGTTCTGTCCTGCCTCCCTCAGGTCTGGCCAGACCTGGGGCGTCTCAGTAAGGATGATGCTTTGACGAGGCCTATGCCAAACGGCCCTCCCTGTGGCCCTGTCTCCTGGTGGGCCGGCTGTTGCTGTCCACCCTTCCTCTTGTCCTCTCCACTTTCTAACACTCACACATCCCCTGACCTCCTTCTCCACGTGTGTGCCCTGGACACATAAACACACATACACGCACGCACTCATCACTCAGGTCTGCCATAGAGGAATACTGCCGGGGTCATGAAAAGGCACAGGAACAGAGAGGATGGAGCCTCAGTGCTGGCCTTCTCCCCAAATGGTCCAGGAGGCCTGGGACACTGTCCCTCGGCTCTGTGCGGGCACAGCCGGGCACATGCCAGTCCTCCTGCCACGGCACCCGCCATCGAGACTGGTCACAGGAGGACAGGCAGTGTTAGCACCAGCTGCCACAGCAAGGCCCTGCCTGAAACAAATCCTTAAAAATCAAAAGGTGTAGGCATTTCTAGCTGCTTTCTCTCCTGAGAACATCATCAGCTCAGGTTGCTTCTCAAGGGATCAAGAGGAGACCACAAAATCAGAAAAGATTAGAGCTCATTAGGGGCCTCATCAACCCAGAGCCTTTCACTGGCAGAATTAAGATCGGTCTCTGGACGCATAGCTTCCAGGATGTTGAGGTTCAGAGAGAGTAAGTAGCTCAGCCAAGACTACACCGCTAGGGAGTGCCTCAGCCAAGACTCAAACCTGAGTCTGTCTTAAGCATTCTGGGATACCGCACGTTTCCACGGAAAGGCTGGAGGGGAACTGGTGTGAAAATCACTGTATAAACGCTTGAATTGGCCCCAAGTGCCTGCAACCTGGGATGTGACCCTCCATCACTATTCTATGTACTAGGTTCCAAGCACCTCCTTCTAAAAGAGCCCTGGGAACAGAGTTGGTGGATTTGCTATAAGGACTCTTATGGTTCTAACAACACAAGACAGCGTCACTGCAAACTCATCACTATCATGCCGTCCCCTTATTCAGGTATAGGAGAGACCAAGCCAACCAATCATGTGTGGCTAGCTCCCCAGTCGTACAAATGGACTGTTGTGGGTGAATTTAGGTAGTAGACTGTATCATAACCCTGAGATGCAAAAAAAAAAAAAAAAAAAAAAAAAAAAGATAAAGCGGAACTGAGTTAGCATCACACTGCAGAATGTCTAAAACAACTGAACTCTCCCACAGAAAACCTAATATGTGCCTGACTTCCAGTAAACGGACCCAACTGAAGCTGCAGATAAATCTAATTTAATTTGTACTGAATCTGGACACATTTTCTGGGTTTATTTCTACTCAGCATTTCAACATACAGCAAAATCGGAAGTCCTGATTTCTTTAAATATGTTAAATACATAAAAATCAGCAGAGGTGATCTGTTCTTGGGGCCACATTAGGTGGCAACCACATTGTTTCACTGCTAACACAGAGACCACCCGTTCCCCCCACCAGATGCTCTATGGCCGGGTAGGCACAGACAACTCGAACAAGTGTTTTCCCAGGTGGATTTTCCCTCCTATATTTTACTTCCCCCTGTGAGGTAGGAAATACGTATGTTATCGATTGTGGATTTAAAATAAAGAACAAGATAGATTACACTGTAGCTTCCATTCTTTCTGGAGGTCAAGCAATTGTCATTCCAGGTGAAAAGCTGTTGGTCCCATGTGCAGACCAGCTCCAGCGACTGGGCTTCCAAGCCTGAAGCTCTGTAGGGACTCGGAGAGGCACCTGGGAATTGTGAGGACGGGAGGGTGACCGTAGCCACCACCAGCTCTGCCTTTCAGTTTTCCGAAGCTGCCGGAAAACCCAACCCAGGTCTCTTGCCGCCAGGGCTTGTGCTGTTTTCACTGCACTATGCTGTCTTGTTCCTGAAATGTTATTGCTGAACAAAGTAAGATTCTCAAATTCATTACAAACTACGTAATCCAGTGATATTTCAAAGAGCATTCTTTGCTAGCTTCTTCATAAACAAAAGCCACTGGAGTTCAAGGTGGGTCATCTTCCTTCTGGCTCTGCTTTCTCTTTTCTCCTCGGATACCTCGGGGAACGGATCACAGAGAGCCTCGAGTGTGATGGCAAGCTCTCCCTGCCTGACTCGGGTGTTTTCCAAGGAAGACATTCAGCTACATATAGGCTCGGTCTCTTTACAGCCCCACGGGATGAACTATCAACTTGTTACTATTAAAAGTGGTGATCTGGCATCTGTGGCCTAGAAATCCCAACAGTTTGGCACTTGGCAGACTAGAAGCCATCTGGAAAATCCTGGCGCTTGGGTATCTGCAGCTAGCTCCAAGCCACATAGATGGATCGCTGGGGTGAATTTGCGCAGTGGACTGTATCATTACCCTGAGATGCTCCCCCAGGAAAAAAGAGATTGATAAAGCAGAATTACGTTAGCATCGTACTCAATGGTGTCTAAAACGAAGGTGGTTAGGCGTGTTGAGCGTGTGCTGTAAAAGTAATGTCTCAACTTCAGCTACCCCTGGGATGACTCTTGAGGAGGAGCGCCTTAAAAAAAGAAGCCTGACGATCCTGGCTTTGTACCTCAAGATGAGCCAGTGGAACCACAGGACCTGGAATGCTTTTATGTAATGCCTTTTTTTTTTTTTTTTCAAATGAATAAGTGATTTTCCTTTAGCAGATTTTTAATACAGTAATTTAAGTTAGAATTACAGTGTATACAGAGAAATTTTGCTAAGAAAAAGAAAATTTTAGTTTAAATGACTAATGTTTTTTTAAAAAAACAAACCAAAAAAAAACCCCTCTAACTGTTGAAATTAAGATGTCTTAGGGGGTCTGTCCAGAGTAACCTCCAAAAGAGCAGAAATCCAATCGTCTGGCAGTATCCCAGATACAACGGGCAGACTTCCTACGACAG